GTTCCAAACTTTTGGACCCTACTGTAAGTCTCTACTTTCTCCTTGACCTATTTTTCTTTTCAAAATCAACTCTAGCTTCCGTTTTTCAGCTATTTTTAGAATTTCTTCCTTGTTTTTGGTCTTTTTCTTTAATTAAAGCTTATCCATTTGATCTTTTTCTAGTTTCCGTGCATTTCGTTAAAGTTATTCATTCTAATTTCCGGGATACTTTCCGAAATCTTTCCGGGATACAAAATAGCCCATAATGTTCTTATATAAAAGCAAATTAAGTCAAAAAAACAGGCTAGATTACTTAAATCTTTGTTATAATTACATTTTTATAGCAGTTTTATACTTATATTTCAATTTTTAGCTTGTTTAATTGGCTATGAAGAAAAATTAGAGCAGTAAAAAATGAATTCTCGCAGTTTGAGGACGAATTGGCAACTTTCCAAGCCGTAAATTCTAAAATACATCTAAACTACCGTAGTCGAGACAGTGTCTTCTTTTCGGCCCCCCCCCCATCTAATCAAAATTCATTTTTTTAAAGAATCTTTACGCGGTCTGGTGCTTTCGCCGTGTCTACTACGCGTTTTTTTTCTTTTTTTATGTTTTTATATGTTCCCGTAACTCGATTCTCTTGTAGATTTTGTTTATTTTTAAAATTTCCCGGTACTTTTCCAATATCGAGGGAGCGGTCCGATTATCGGGGGAGCAAATTTTGGCAGCGCTACATATGTCCTATATTATACAAACTAGCGCCATAAAATCCGCGAATTACCCGTTATTCTCACAACCTTTATATTAGGTCACAAAAGTGACTTAAATATCTAACACCCAGCGAAATAGATCTTTTCCCTTTGAGCGGACTTTCATCGATTCGCCACAGTTGCAAATCCACGACTGGATGACTCCTTTGGTGACGAAATAATCGATTGCCGTCGATTCTTTGAACGCACAAATATCGGAGAAGAGCATTGTCGTTAAAGTTTTAAAAAAAACGTTGCAGTTAAATACAGTTCCGGAAATGCATTTTTCGAGGGGGCAAAATTTGCTCCCCCGATTTTCCTTCCGCTCCCCCGATATTGGAAAAGTACCAATTTCCCTCCTTCTTTTATTGTTTTCACCCCTCCTTCCCTGATTTCACCAGTTTTTGGGGAAAAGCATCTCCGTGCCAGGCGCTTTTATTTACGCAGCTTCTAATGGCCCTAATTTTTCTTATAGCCGACTCATCGGGCTAAAAATTGGAATACAAGTGTAAAAATGTTATAAAAATGGAATTATAACAAAGTTCTAAGTAATCTGGCGCATTTATCGACTTAATCTACCTTCATTTAAGGACAAATTACCGGCCACTCTGTATTAGTATCATTTCTTTAGCTACGTAGTGCCATAGTTGGTGTACTTTGTGCTCACTATCAACGCTGTAAACACCCTCTCTCTGGTGCACTGGATTCTCTAAACCTTAGCAAGCCATCGCTGAGAGAATCTCGGTGCGCCAGAAAGAGCATGCTCAAGCGCAAAGTCCACATTTCTCACATCAGATTTCATTTCAAGTCAATTCAGAACAAATCTCTCCATAAACTGAACATCATTTGAATATTCATTGAGCGCTAAAAGATATTCAGCTCAACGAGTGAAAAGAGAATTTCGTCTCGTCATTTCTCCGTTTTCCCTTTTCCCGGCATAAATCTTTTCCAATTTTTGCGATAATCTTCTGGAAAAATTTTATCCCTTTTTTCTTAGCACGTGGTCATTATTTTTGGCAAAATTTCACCATTTTAGTTGAAATTTCACAAATTTTCCTCACTAAAATGCTTTCTACGATGTTCTATCGAGCCGTCATTAATAAGTAAGTTTTTAGAAAAATGACAGACATTTGGATTGCTGTAAGACAGGAAAACGACAGGATTGCTGTAAGCTATAACTTACAGTAATCCCTTGAACAACCGTTTTCTTGGATCACTTATTTCGTCCATTTAATTAGCCATTTAATTTAATCTAATTCCATTTAATTCCGAATCCTTTGCCTAACTTTCATCGACATAATCGTCTCCTAAAAAGTTGCAACTTTCTTGCCTACCGTACTCTAGGTTACAGTACACTAAACAAAAAGAAAAAAAGACTTTAAAAAGCTGCAAGGAAGCGCCTTAGGAACTGTTGTTTAGCTGTAAATTGTAATCGAAGTTTTGCTAAGAAATTGATTGATTTAGTTTACGAAACTAAGAAGTAGAAAACCCTTTTGTCTTTGTATCGCCCCCCTTCTCAATTATTCACTCACTTTCCCTTTTTTTCATTCATTCACATCATCGACAAAGAGAAACCCGAGCTGCAAGTGAAACTTTTTCCAAACCCTGAGAATTTTTGATTTAATTTTGAACAAAAAACTTGTTCCCCAATTTGATAGCTTTACAGATACTTGAACTGGAAAAATCTAAAGCAAAGCTAAGTTAAGTTATCTAAGCAAATCTAAGTTATCGTTTACTTTTTTTCAGTTTTCCAAAGATGTCGCCATTTTTTTTTCTTTGCCGCCAACCCAGTATTTTCTAATATTTCAGGGAATGTTAAAATTATCTAATTTTTGCATTTTTAGGCATTGTGAGTTCCAGAATGATTGATTTTAAAGGAATTTTTGAAAAAAAAACTAAATCTAAACGCGTAAAAGGCCTTGAACTCGAATCCGCATCTAAGCATTCGTTGGTTTCCATTGCTCAATTCTCATCTGAAGTCAGGAATTGACCATTGTGCCTTCCAGAAGGACCGATTTTAAGGCGATTTTGAAAACAAACTAGATTTAAAATGCTTAAAAGGCTTAAACTCGATTCCGCATCCTAGAATTGATTGGTTTCTATTGCTCAATTCTCATTCGAATTCAAGAATGGACCATTGTGCCTTCCAGAAGGACCGATTTTAAGGCGATTTTGAAAACAAACTAGATTTAAAATGCTTAAAAGGCTTAAACTCGATTCCGCATCCTAGAATTGATTGGTTTCTATTGCTCAATTCTCATTCGAATTCAAGAATGGACCATTGTGCCTTCCAGAAGGACCGATTTTTCCCTCAAAACCTAAAATCTCCAAGCCCGATTCCCCGAAAAATCACAAAAGTTGAATTTGAAAGTTTTCATTTTAATTTTAGCTGATTTTAAGCTTCGAAATTTCAGCTTTTAGTTTTTTTTTATTCTTTTCTTTTCTTCCTAAACAATGAAAAGAAACAGTATAGCTCAATGATCCTACCAGACTGCTAGCTCGGGTTAAAGACTAAGCCATGCATATCTTAGTTCAGTTATCTGGTTGATCCTACCAGGTTGTCACCTCAAGCTAAAAGACTAAGCCATGCATATCTTAGTTCACCTATCTGGTTGATCTAAAAGAAAACAATCTTCTAGAAGATGACTAAATTTTAACGAAAATACTCGATACTAAAATACGAAAATATCAAAATATCAAAATAAAGGTAAGGAAAAGAAATCTCCGAGTTAATGATTCTCGTTGTTCTGGAGGACAAAGCTGAAAGCTGAAAGTTGAAAAGAACGAAAAGATAGAGGAGAAATCTCTAGGGGATTGGAATGGGCTTGGGAAAAGGGAAATGGGGAAGCGTAGGGTGTTCCCATTCAGGGATTGGAAGAGAGGAAACCGGCGCAGTTATCGCCTTTTCATTTTCTCCGTCCATTTCTACTCGATCGCACTTTTTAATTGTACTTTTCTGTAACCAAATTTCATAAGGATCATTTTAAATCCAACCTTTAATCGATGTGATCACTGGGATTCGAGTTATGGACGGACTAAGATAACATAGTTACAACAGGACTAAGATAACATAGTTCCCAATCTCCGAGACTCGTCACGGAATTTGGAAGGATTGAGCTCTTGGGGAAAAAAGGGGAAGCGAAGGGTGTCCATTGAGGGATTGGAAGAGAGAAAACGAGGCAGAAAACGAGGTAGTTATCGCCTTTTCTCCGTCCATTTCTACTCGATCGCATTCTCATCCACCATCCATCCCATTTCGATAAGTGCTGGTATTCTTGTTTTGAAAATCGGAAAATCACGAGAAATTCGCACTATTCGCATTGACTATTTTCTAGATTATCACCGTATTTCCTTGTAATAAAACCCACAAGTACGAGACACGAACCCATTCGTCGCCGGCTTTACTGAGTTTCCAAGCGCTGTTCCGCACTTTTCCGCAATTTTCCCCGACTAGACCGGAAGCTAGATTTACTGTAAAATCGGGACTGGCTTTTAGATTTGCCATAAATCATAAGGACTATTCGTTTTTTTGCATTTAACCTTTGAAATTGATAATTTTACGGTTATCGGACATTTGATCCACGCCCTGCCCCCTTTGCCATTGGCAAAACTTTGAACTCAAATATCTCAGCACTGGGTTATCCAACTTCAATATTCTTGATATCATTAGATGCGCCAAGTCTTTAGCTATCGATTGGTATAAAAACTATTTATATAGACTACTCCAGTGCTGAGATATTTGAGCTTAAAGCTGGATTGTCAATGGCAAAGGGAGTGGATTAGAAGGGGCGCTCTTTACCATTGCCACTCCAACTTTGAACTCAAATATCTCAGCACTGGATTAGTCTATATAAATAGTTTTTATACCAATCGATAGCTAAAGACTTGGCGCATCTATTGCTACCAAGGATATTAAAATTGGACAACCCAGTGCTGAGATATTTGAGTTCAAAGAGTTGGATTGGTAATGGCAAAGTGGCCATCTGCGGCAAAGCGGCAAAGCGGCAAAGCGGCCAATGTCCCACAATCTTTTACGCACTGGCTATTTTACTGGTCCTGAATTTATCAATTTTCAAAATTCCCAAGCTTTTAGCTGCTTTTGATACCTAAAATCATCGCCATAAAAATAATTTTTTTTTTACAATGCTCACAAGTATTTTAACTATAAAGTAATAGACTTTTAAAAAAAAGAAAACCAAAAAAAACCTAGCTCTCTATAGAAAGTAATATAGAAATATTCATCTAGCTTTTTAAAAAAAAACCCTTTTTCAGCATTGGAGACAAATCAATAAACGGAAAAGCGGCACCATTTCACACACCGCAAATCGACCGAAAAGTCACCCAAAACGAGCCACAAGCACACCGTAGAAGCAGTATGGAGACGATCAATGCACACTCGAGTGCCAAGAATAATGAGGTGAGGAGAATGAATCGAGTTATCGTCTCTGATTTCAGAAAACCGTCTCTGATAAGACAAACCTGGGCAAATTCCAAGCCAAACCTAATTCCACCCTCATTTTCTCGACCTTAGCCATTTCTTATCCATTTCCTGGCCTTTTCTTGACCGATGCTTGGCCGATGCTTGGCCGTTTCTTGGCCGTTTCTTGGCCATTTCTCAGCCATTTCTTGGCCGTTTCTCGACCGATTCTTGGCCATTTCTTGGCCATTTCCTGACCTTTCCTTGGCCTTTCCTTGGCCATTCCTTGGCCATTTCTTAGTCGCTTATTTTCTTAGTCGAATGAATGAAATTATCGTCTCTGATTTCAAGAAGACAAACCTAATTCCACCCTCGTTTTCTCGGCCGATTCTTAGCCATTTCTTATCCATTTCCTGGCCGTTTCTTGGCCGATGCTTGGCCGTTTCTTGGCCATTTCTTAGCCATTTCTTATCCATTTCTTACCATTTCTTATCCATTTCTTAGCCATTTCTTATCCATTTCTTAGTCGCTACAGATCCAAATCGACATTTTCAGCTTCTAGAAAGCTTCTAGACAGCTTCTAGAAAGCTTCTAGACAAAATTGCAGAGTAATCGTTTGGCCGAGAAAGGTGGAATTAGATTCGGCTTGAAATCTTCCCATCTCTAGTATACTTTATTCTAAAGGTACACAGGTCTATTCTTATTAAAAAACTATGACATCATAAACAACTTACCAGCTAGTATCACACTTGGGTCAATCCAGTCAAACTCCCGAGCACTCTGGCTATCCAGATGATAACAAAGCAGCCAGAAACTCGCTTCAAATCAATTTCTTCAAAGCAACTCGCTTCAAAATCAAGATTTTTCCTTTCTCTTTTCTTTTTTCTCTCTTCTGGGAGGCAGGCTAGCGATTAAGATCAAAAACTTTGCAATAGCTTCAAATTTCGAGAAGTTGGAAAAAAAGCAAGTTGCAAAAAAACCAACTTCTCGAAATTCGAAGCTATTGCAAAGTTTTTGATGTTAATCGCTAGCCTGCCTGCCAGAAGAGAGAAAAAAGAAAAGAGAAAGGAAAAATCTTGATTTTGAAGCGAGTTATTGCGAAGCGAGCGAGTTGCCGAAATGCCGCTTTGCTGAAATTGTAGTTGCTTTGCGTTCTTGCGTAGTTGCCCTAAACGGCCAACGATTCGTTTTCGCTGGGCAGCTACGCAGAAAGCAAGACGCAGAAAGGAGTGTTTCCGAATTTCAATCGAGTATTCTAAAATCGATAAAGACATCGACAAAATCGACAAAATCAAAATCAAACCCTATTTCAGAGCCGCGGCGGTCAGATCACTCACCCGAATATCGAGGCCTGGGATCCGGATGTGTACGAGAAAGAACTATTGCGTCGAACGTGGAGCGACGATTTCGATTTCCTCTACGAACTTGGGTAAATGACGCTGGATTTTCTTTGAAAAGAGAAAACGACTTTCCAGCGCCGCCATCTATTGCTACATTTTCGATCACAATCCGAATTGTAAACAACTTTTCCCGTTCATTTCAACTTATCAAGTAGGGGAAATGTTTGGAAAGTTTTTTTTTTGAAATCAAATTCCAAATCAAATCAAATTCAAAACCAATTCAAAATCAAATCAAATTCAAAATCAATTCAAAATCAAATCAAATTCAAAATCAAATCCTCAAATCCTTCAGGGTGATGACTGGAAGCACAGCAAAGAGTTTCGCTCACAGGCGCTCAAATTTGTCCAGGTACGGTAGTTCGTTCGGATTTTAAAGGAGATTTTTTTGTGTTAACTAAAAAGCGAAATAAAACTATTCAAGGCTTACGGTAGTGTTTAGTTTAAAATTTGAAACGGCTACAGTACGCAAAATTCCCTTTGCAGACATTGGCTCAAACGGTGAAAAACGTTTATCACATGGATCGGGTCGAGGTCTTTTTGTATGGAATTGGGCAACGACATTGCAAATTCGCCGAACGTGGCTTCAAAGCCGAGTACTGGAATATTTTCCAGGTTTTGAAAAAACGAGAGATCTTTTTGAAAACGATCATGTTTAGGATGCAATGGAGCACTCACTCGCTGATCACATGAATGGCTTGAAAGATTTGAATGACGATCAGAAAAAGGATGCTGTTAGGGTGAGTGAATCGAATTACAGTACTCTAACTATACGGCAAGATACAATAACCCTATTTCCTTTAAATTCGGAGATCTTAAAAGATGACAGAAACTTGCAGGTATGGCGAACATTGGCCCTCTACGTAACAACCCACATGAGCCACGGATTCTTTGACGGAATGAAAGGAGTCAACAAATTTGCCGAACAATAATCTCAGCTATCTCGAAACAAAGTGCATAATTGCCATGCAATCGAAAACAAACCCAAGTCGACCCTTCAATGCTCAATTCCCTCTTAAATTTGGACAAAAGTACTTTATCGAATGAAACTTGTAGCATGATTTTCTGTCCGACTCTAATAAAGTTTTGATTCAGCCGTTTTTAAAACCTACACAATATGTAATGCTTAAAGATGGTCTTCGACTAGCCGCATTCAGAATTGGAAGCTCAAAATTTATTCACGTTACCAACAACAAATAAAAATTGTTTCTTACAGAAACTCAACAAGGTTACCCTTCACGGGAAAGAAAAAAAAGGAAATGACAAACGAGGTACAGGTTTTACTTCTTCTTGCCAGCGGGGGCTCCGGCCTTTTGAGCTGCCTTCGTCACCTTGCCTCCACCTCCCTCGGATTTGTCGACTCCCTTGATGACGCCTACAGCAACGGTTTGCCTCATGTCGCGAACGGCGAATCGTCCAAGCGGAGGGTAGTCCGTAAAGGCTTCAACACAGAGAGGCTTGGTTGGGATGAGCTCGACAATTCCGGCGTCTCCGTTCTTCAAAGCCTTGGGGTTGTCCTCAACCTGAAATTAAGAAATAAGTTTGGTTCAGAAATCCTTATGGATTAGAACGAAAGAAAAAACTACTTTCTTTCCAGTACGGCGGTCGACTTTCTCCTTAAGCTCAGCAAACTTGCAAGCAATGTGAGCAGTGTGACAGTCGAGCACTGGGCAGTATCCGGCCGCAATTTGTCCAGGGTGGTTCATGATGATCACCTAAACTTTAAATAAAACTAGCTTTGAGCAAAATTAGCAACCTGAGCGGTGAAAGAGCGGGCCTCTTTTGCTGGGTCGTTCTTGGAGTCCGAGCAGACGGATCCTCGTCGAATATCCTTTACTGAGACGTTCTTGACGTTAAAACCAACATTGTCTCCGGGGGCAGCTTCAGGAAGCGACTCGTGGTGCATCTCAACAGACTTTACCTAAACAACTAAGATATTAAGATCAATTCAAGACCAGAAAAAGTACCTCAGTGGTGACGTTCTGTGGGGCGAAGGTAACGACCATCCCAGGCTTGATGAGGCCGGTCTCGACACGCCCAACAGGCACGGTTCCAATGCCGCCGATTTTGTAGACATCTTGGAGGGGAAGTCGGAGAGGCTTGTCGGTTGGGCGCTGCGGTGCGAGGATCGCGTCCAAGGCATCGAGAAGAGTCTTTCCAGAGGCGTTTCCTTCCTTGCGGGTGACTTCCCATCCTTTAAACCATGACATGTTGGAAGAAGTTTCAAGCATGTTGTCTCCGTTAAACCCGGAAATTGGCACGAATGGAACAGTGTCTGGGTTGTATCCAATTTTCTTGATGAAATTGGAAACCTAAGGTAAAAAAAGGTTAAATCAACCAAAGAAAACACCAACCTCAGTCTTGATCTCAGTGAAGCGAGCCTCAGAGAATGGTGGTTCGGTGGAGTCCATCTTGTTGCAAGCGACGATAAGTTGCTTCACTCCGAGAGTCTGGGCAAGAAGAGCGTGCTCGCGGGTTTGCCCATTCTTTGAGATTCCAGCCTCGAACTCTCCAGTACCACAGGCGACAACCAACACAGCACAATCAGCTTGAGAAGTTCCTAAAAAAGAAACAAATTGGTTTCAGACATAAAAGTAAAACATTTCTCAATGGGCACTAATCAAGTTAACGTTAATGAGCACTAACTAACTGAAGCAGTTGGTTAGTTATTTCGCCTAGATGCTAGTTAAACTACAAATAACGTTGCTTATTAATAAAATAAAACAAATTCAAAAGCTTTACCCGTGATCATGTTTTTGATGAAGTCACGATGTCCAGGTGCGTCAATGATGGTGACGTAGTATTTGGCGGTCTCGAACTTCCACAGAGCGATGTCGATGGTGATTCCACGCTCGCGCTCGGCCTTCAGTTTGTCCAGCACCCAGGCGTACTTGAACGATCCCTTGCCCATTTCTTGCGCTTCCTTCTCGAACTTCTCGATGGTGCGCTTGTCGATCCCTCCACATTTGTAGATGAGGTGCCCGGTGGTGGTGGACTTTCCAGAATCGACGTGTCCAATGACGACAATGTTGATATGGACCTTTTCTTTTCCCATTGTTGAAGGCCCTCAAAGAGTTGTTACCTGAAAAATAAAAAAATAAGATGGTGTTAACGACGTTAAACATTCAAGGAAAGCAATCAACTACCAAAAAGAAGCAACAGGGGCTAAGGTCAGGGACGATCTTCGAAAACTTGAGGAAGCTGCTGATAACCTAAGTAGCTTGAAATTAATACAGCCGTTAAAAAGTACTAGCCGGTCAGTGTTCAGTTAGTCCATAGATCACATCCAAAATATATTGACTACAAGTAGTTTTGTAGCATTTCCAACAGTGCTTAAAGTAAACCATTTAGTTTTTCGATATCCTTTAAACTCGTTTTGCTTTTGCTGAGAATTGAGTTTTAGGATCGAAAAAACTTATTTGAGTATGATTTTTACATATCTGTATTTCAAGAATGAATGGATCCCCTTGAAAACGCTTTCAATTATAATGGCATTGGATTGTCTATTACTGATTTATTCATTTTGTTCTGGTGAAAATGAAAGGCTACTGACAATTTTGAAGCTTTGAACAAAATCTGAGAAAAAGGATCTTAAACCTCTTATGCAAAAGCAGCTTGAAAAATTCTATATAGAGCTCAATCTATAAAAATTCATTTCTAAATTCTAAAATCTAAAAATATCATCTTAAAGCTCTCAAAATACTACAAAAAAAACTAATTGGGATCGATTTATTTGAATGCTATCTAACGGGAGAAAAATGAGAAACATTAGCCGGCTAAATCTTTTTTGACGACTATAAATGACAATTGAAAAGCGGCATGTCAAAAATTTGAAAGAGTTTGAACACTTAAGCGACCAAATGCCAAACAAAAAAAAATAGGGAATAACGAGAACAATGTAAAAGGAAAAATTAGTGATTTTCTAGACAAAATCCACTTTTGACTGCCACGCAGCTGCGTATTGACTGCATAGCAGCCCTTTTTATTAAAGTAAAAGGTAGATACAAAAGTAATTCCTACTTGATCACTTTATTCAAATTTTCTTCGTTTCTTTTCTTTCGTTGCTTCAGTTTTTTTTAGCTTTTACTTGTTCTTGTACTTATCTATTTTTTTAGCTCATCTACTTCGATGGTCTTCATCAAGCCGCCACCCCCAATTTTGCGAAAACACGATGGAATAAGAGTAAGTATTGTTTTCTTTGGAAGCTTATAAAATTTTGCAAAAGTTTATTTTTTGATTAAAAAGGATTGCAAAAAAATAATTGGAGTGGAAGTAGGAGTAAACAAGTAGAAGTAAACATCTAGACGCTACAATCCTTATTAATTTACTACCTATCATCCCAGTTATTAAAGTCTTTTCGGCCATTCAAATGTAAACTTTAGAGGTATCCTGACATTTTTTCGTGGCCAGTTAGGTCTATGAATAAGAAAACGATTCACAATAAGAAAGAAAAACTTTTAAACACTTTATAAAACCGTTTTTAATTTAGCCTAACATAAAGTCTTCTTTTAGTTGTTTGGCATTCTTTTCTCTTCACTCTTGACAGGAACACTGGTGGCCATCGGAGGTGTCCAACTTGTCGACAATTACGAACTTATTGAGCGGCGCGACGACGATGATTGATCCATATCCATGAGGCAATTTTACTCGTATTCAAATACAATTTTTAAAAGATAACTTTTAATATTTTTGCTTACTGCTAGCTGTTCGAACATTTGATGTTTTCGTACAGCCTAAAATAAATATCTCTCTGCAAAGGGTTCGTGTCGTGTTATTAAAAATTGGGAATCTCTAAACCAAATTAAACTCTGACTTAAGCGATATCGGGACAAGGTGCAATCGCATTATGCTGTCCGTTTAGGATTGAAAATTTTTCGGAAGCGCAAACTTATGAAAACAATTATTTTCCAGTTCTGTTTCAACGTTGTTGCACTTCAATCAAAAGGCAAAATTTCGCTTTCCCCCACACTCAGACCTTGAGCGCATATAATCGATGCACTTTGCACTGATAACTCGGCGACGCACCTTTTATCCCTGCCTCTTAAAACGATAGTAAAATCGATCGAATTCACACAGCAAGTGAATTTTTGTATTCAAAAGATAATTCAAAGACAATAAAAATTTCGAATAAATGCCACAAGTAGATTATATACAGTAGCTTAAAGGGAACAAATTCATGAGAAAACAAAATCGGCACAAGTTGAATGCATAGACGCTATCTCAAGTCTAATTGTAATAAATTACTCGAATAAAACTATGCTTCTATAAGATAAAAGACCTATGTTGATAAACGTTTAATGAGCGGCTTCTTCCTGTTCTTTGAATGTATTGTATTCGGCCTCGGTGAGCAATCCCTTGAGTTCGCTTTCCTCTGTTAGTTTCACTTTGCAAATCCATCCTAAAGCAATTTATTACATTAACTCGGGATACTATTTAAAACATGTTTGTCATATTCTGCTCTAGTTCTCCTTTTAAAAAATGCGTATTGAAAAACTGCAAAAATTCGCTTAAGACTTTTGCATCTATCTAAACTACTGTAATAGCACCCCACCCCCATAATAAAGGTTCGGGGTGTTGCGTAGTCTAGCTTTGGACGATTTTTTTTCTCGACACTGGTTTATGCTACAATGCGCGCTTAGGTATCAAAAAATAGCTGAAATTCAGGGCTATTTTTGGTACCAAAGACGCATTTTTTGAAAGTACGGGTGCTTTGAAAAAAATGAATTACTAAAAACACTCTTTTGCGACTACGCGACTGTACGAGGGGGTGGGGTACTACTACAGTATTTACTAAATCAAATGATGTTGAAAGAGTCAATGAACACCATAAAATGCAAACCTTCATCCAATGGACTCTTGTTGATCATATTTGGTGCCCCTTCCAAAGCTTCGTTACGTTCCGTTATTGTGCCTAAGCATGAACAGTAAAGAATGGACAAAAAGAAAACCTGAGACTGGAGTATAAACATCAGAAGCGGCTTTCACTGATTCAACCGCACAAAACGAGTCTCCCTAAATCAAACAAATGTCATTTAAAAATGCAGCATTTATCACGCTAAAATAGATAAACCAACTTGAGCAACTTGTTTTCCGACTTCGGGAAGATCCACATAAACGATGTCACCGAGCGCTCCAGCGGCAAAGGCGGTGATTCCAACGGTACCGACTCCATTTTCCACCAAAACCCATTCGTGTTTCTTTGTGAACTTCCTATCTAAACAAGAAATTAAATTATTTTGTTTTTACAAAGCACACAAGTAAAAACTTTTTAAAAATGACTGGCTTCAAAGCTTTAATAACTGGCTTCCAATAATTTTTGCATCACTACTGAAGCATATGATCATTTTTCAATTAAAAGCTCAAAAATACTTACGGTAACTTTTCTTTTAATAATGTTTTAAAAAGATTTACCTGCAAAAAATCTGGACGAAACACTCAACGAAGCCCTCTGCAAGGTGATCAATTCGGGTAGGTGGACGAGTCGAGAGCTCGATCGAAGCAGAAGCGCTGCCATTCTAAAACAATGAAAATAAAATAAGTTTTCAAATTCATTTAAAAATTAACAAATTCTCTAAAATGCTAAAATCACGGAGCCACTCAAAAAATAAAGCGACACGCACAAAATGCCATTGATAAGATTTCAGTGAGAAGAGAAAGTGATATCGAATGAGAGACAATCGCACAAAAAAAGGGTTTTTTTTGGGAAAAACCTAATAAAAAATCTCGCGGACTCACTATTTAAAAGGTAAAAGGTCATTTCAAACGTTTTAATTGTGTATTTGAGGTGAAGATTAAGCTTGCAGAATTTTCCGTCAAAAACGGAAAACGGGAAAAAAACCCCGCCCACTTGCCAGAGGAATTTTGGCTATAATTTGGTTTGAATTGAACCTTTCGACGTTATTTTGGTATCATTCGGCGCAGAAAACTTTGCTCTATCGAATGAAACTAAAATATCGTAGAATGGTTCAATTTGAATCAAATTATAGCCACTTGCCAGAGGCATTTTGGCTATAATTTGGTTTAAATTGAACCTTTCGACGTTATGTTGGTAACATTCGGCTTTGCTTGCTCTATCGAATGAAACTAAAATATCGTAGAATGGTTCAATTTGAACCAAATTATAGCCAAGATGCGATGCCTCTGGCAAGTGGGCGGGGTTTTTTTCCGTTTTCCGGTTTTAACGGAAAATTCTGCAAGCTTGATGAAGATGCAGCAAAAACTTACTTTTAAAAGTGAATGTGTGAAATTTAACAACACCGAAGGCACGGAAAAGCACAAAATGCCAAAATGAATTATAAAACCCAAAAATAATTTTTATAGCTCAAAATCTCGTCAAAATATTCATTCGTTTAATTGAATATCTTTTGGTGAAATTGTTTTATATAAAAAATTTTTGACTGAATATCGTACCTTTTATGATAAATTAAAATTATAAACGCTATTCAGCTAAAAGTTGCTAAAAGTTGCCTATAAAAGAACCTCTAATCTGCCCTTCGTTTAATAAAATGTTTCAAAAAACACAAAAATTGTTAGCATTGTATGTTTTTCTCTTTAAAACTTGCTTTATTCATGTCCTAACTCTTTTCTGTAGCAGCTAAATGGTGCCCGCTGGACAGACGGTCGAGCGCTTCTCTGTTTCTCCGCCTCTCCTCTCGTCGACGAGGTTTATTTCCGTAATTCAATAACAATGACACAGTCTAAAGCTTTTCATAGACAGATCATTGATAAAGTTTCTTGTTTTGATTTCGAAATTGATTAAAGAAGATTTAGCAACGTTTGCAGCACATTAAATTAGCTAATAGAGACTTTCGAACCGTTTAAAATTTCTCTCTTTATTGCTGTACATTTCTCTGAATTAATATTATGCATTTAGGATGAGTTCAAACGCATCTGATGATCTAAAAGAAGAAAAAGATGTGGAAATATCGGCTGGAGAAGTGACGAACAGTGAAGCCGAGGATGGAGAGGTTGGAATCTTCCAAGAATTTTTTCACCATTTGTGATTTAGGTTCTTGAATCACGCAAACGAAAACATTCTGAAAATGTCGACGATGAGGGAAAGAAGAAACACAAGAAAGAAAAGAAGCACAAAAAGGAGAAGAAACACAAGAAAGAGAAAAAGCACAAAAAGGACAAGGAACGCCACAAAAAAGGTTTAATGATTGTTTAGAGTTTTAAAACTTAACATTTGTAGATAAGAAGACCGACAGCAGCCCTAAAGCCGATGGTGACGCTGTTGATGAAACGAGGAAGATTGTGATGAAGATCAGTGATGAAAAGTCGAAAGACGCATTGTCTAAGGTAGCTTCACTTTACATGAGACATTTTATACGTTGGCATAAGGGATTTATCAATCACGACCCTTTTTAGAGCAAATGGGAAGAAGAGGACGAAAACTCCCAGCCAACTTTTGTGGTGACCCTCAAAAATGGAAAGCAGCGTACGACCAGCGAACGATCCAACGATGAGAAACCGTCTGATGACGCACAAAAGGTTGCTTCAACTGACACAAAAAGCTCCAGAAAGCGCTCCTCTAGTGGAACCAGGTAAAAAAACTTTCGTTTTTCTCATAATGTTTAAAATTTTAGCGTGAAACCGGAAAAAACTGATCCAAAGGAAACGATCAAAAGCAAAGATATCGAGAAGGAGAAATCAAAAGCAAGGGAGCGGTCGAGAAGTAGGAGTACAAGCAAAAACAGGTTTTGTGACTTAACGCGCATTTATATTTTAAATTTAGGAGAAAGGAAGAGAGTGTGAAGAGCAAGGACGAGAAACCACGAGCAAAAGAGCACTCGCGTACCAGGAGTCCTGTTAGAAGGTTTGTCGTTTGATATTTATTTTACTGACATATTGCTTCGATTTAGAGTCAGAGATGATAGTCGTGATCGAGATCGACGACGGGAAACGAGCAGAGATCGCGAGCGTAATCGAAAACTGGACGCGACTCGTTCAAGGTTTTCTACATTTCGTTAATTTATTCAAGACTACTTTTAGGAGGACTCCCGAACGTCGTCGTAGTAAAAGCATTGAAAGAAGGCGCTCACCGATAAGAAGACGTTCGCCTGATAGAAGAAGGTCGCCAGAAAGACGTCGCTCGCCTGACAGGTTGGTTTATAAGCTTTACAATGCTGAAGTATCGCTAATACTCTATTGCATTGTGCTAATTCCTTGCATTCATTGCACAATGCACGAAATAGCCTGGCTAATCTTTCAGTTTTAGAACTCGTGATAGGCGCCGATCACACTCTCGTGACCGTCGTAGATCGACTTCGAGGGATCGTAGGGATAGAGATAGACGGCGAAGCAGGTACCTTAGCTTTTAATGTTTTAAAAGATCATTGATCAATTTTAGATCTACCGATCGACGAGGTAAGCATCGCGATGATAGGGACAAGAAAAAGAAAATCGAAGATGACGATGCGCCAAATGTTAGTTATTGTTTCAACGTTTCTTCAAAAATGTATTTAGGTTGAATGGAATTTATCTGACGATTCTGATGAGGAAGCGAAAATTGAGGAACTTCGTAAGAAACGCCAGAAAATGCTTGAGCAAATTAAGGACAAGGTTGGAACACTGATGGTTCTTGTTTAAGATTAACTTTAGAATACACCGATTTATGAAAATAAAGAGCTGAACACGCCGACTCCATCCAGTGCTAAAACGACCAGTGTAGTCAACACTCCGGTTAAAAGTAAGTTTTGTTTGAAATTTGAAATCCTTATTGGTTTAGATAATGTCCTTGCTCCAAATAAAGATCAAGACAGCGATGACGAGGAAGAGGACGAAAGAGAGAAATTATTGAGAGAAGCGAGAAGCTTGATTGGCGGCAAAATGGGCGAGTCAGGAAGTGCATCTCCATCTACGAACGATAGTCCTGAACATGGTGGCACGAGTACTCCTGGAGACTTCTTTGCTAATTTAAAGGAGAAAATGGTACATATCAGGTCAGTTTTTATGACCTGGTAGTAACTGATTGCTAAAACAGGCTCAATCTTGCCCGTTTTTTATAAATAATTTTTTAGGGGTCGTGATGTTTCTTCTGTTGACCATGATCTCGAGGAAGCACGCCAAATGGAAATGGATGAAGAAAAGGCTCGTCAAGAAGATAAAGATGCGATAGCAGAAAGGAGGAGGAAACTTCTCAAAGAAGCCCAAGAAAAGACTAAGAAAGAGGTGAGTAAGATTGGTAGAAGTAAATTCCTACTAAAAATATTTAGGAGGGTGGCTTTGACATGTTTGCCGATGATCCCGAGATTCCGCTTGACGATATTGGAGCCACGGTGATCAAGGCACATGGAGATGCGAAGAATAATGCTTTGAAGGATAATTGGGATGACACTGAAGGATATTACCGTATGTTATCCTTTTTTATGCACAACCCATTTAAATTTAGGTGTTCGAATTGGTGAGGTTATGGATGAACGTTATCGTGTGTTTGGCTATACTGGAGCTGGTGTATTTGGAAACGTCGTTAGATGTACGGATATTTCAAGAAGTAACGCAACAGTTGCGGTGAAAATTATCCGAAACAATGAAATAATGTAAGTCGATGTATTTTGTAATCAAAAATTACTTTTTAATTTAGGCGAAAAACCGGTTTGCGTGAGCTGAATGTGTTGAAAAGATTGAACGACGCGGACAAACAGGATAAATATCACATCTTGCAACTTCATCGCACATTTGAACACCACAATCATCTGTGTCTCGTCTTCGAAAATCTCAGGTATCGTTGGCAAATGAATAAGCTTGGGAAGGGCTAACTTTCAAGCTTTTTTATTTACCACTGTAAAAACAGTGAATGAAATGTTGATATAGAGAACTTTTTGAATCTAGGAAAAGACATATTTATTGTTTTAAAAAATTAGTAAAGTTCATTGTTTATCAAAATTTCATTAAACTTGTCACAGACTTCTTTTGACGGACAGTTTTATTGAGGTGAGCGTAATTTGTTCATTTTTGCGTGGAGGATCATCATTGTCACTTTTTGCATTATCTGCGTTTCTTTTTACAGAATCGATTCAAATGTCTCATTTAGAAATGTTACGATTCGTGGCCCAGCTAGCGGCTATTCAAGCGTTTCCATACGTGGAAACTTTTCCTCGGTTCCTGCTTGAGGTAGTTTAAGCTGATAGGGTGTTCTCCCTATGGCTTTTGTGTCAACCATAGTCGTTTTGAAAGCATTCGAAGAAAATTATTTCAAATTTCCCCAAAGAACCCAGCACTCAGACTTTTTCATTTCAGCGTTCATCTCCGAAAATATGGCAAACTGTGGACCCGGCCTGGCGAAGCAGAGTGGAGATCCCATCCACCCCAAACAGGCTCTTTCTAATTGTGAATGTTGTACCTAATGACCGATTTATTTCATTTTACCTAGTTACCTTGTGTGTGCCTCCATGCAAAGTGAACAGAGAGAGCTCTTAAAATTACACACAATGGCGTAAAATCCCGTCGGGCGACTTACCCACATTTCACATTGGAGGTACTTGTTTTTGCTATATATTCTCATTTTAGTATGAATCTTCGCGAGTTACTGAAGAAATACGGGAACAAAGTCGGATTACATATGAAGGCTGTGAGGGTGGGTTTTACGATTTAAATTCACTAATCGAATTTCAGTATCATTTTGTAGTCAGCAAAATTGTTAGGTAGTACGTGAGAATTGAAGAAAGGTTTACTTTTAGAGCTACGCAACTCAGCTATTGAGTGCGCTTCGTTTGCTGAAGAAATGTGAGATAATTCATGCTGATATCAAGCCCGACAATATTCTGGTAAAGCCACATTTTTATATTATCTAGTTTTTTTTTTCCTAGGTCAACGAGTCGAAGCTGCACCTCAAACTCTGTGATTTTGGGTCATCTGGAAAGTTGAACGAACAAGAAATTGCTCCATATTTGGTTTCAAGATTTTATCGTGGGCCAGAAATTAGTAAGTTCTTTAAAAAATCCTGAACCAATCTATTTTCTTGTTTAGTGCTTGGTATCCCTCATGACTATGGTGTTGATTTGTGGTCGGTGGCTGTGACACTCTACGAAGTTTATACTGGCCGCATCATGTTTGTTGGAGGATCGAATAATCACATGCTAAAGGTACGTCGAAAGTTTTACCCATAATCAGCCCTATCTTTCAGCTTTTCACCGATCTTAAAGGAAAATATCCCAACAAATTGGTGAAACGATCCGCTTTTAAAGATCAACACTTTGACGGCAATTTTAATTTCCTCTACCATGAAGTGGACAAAGTAACGAAAAGGGATAAGGTTTGTTTTTTGGTTAAAGCTACTAAAAATTAAACTTTTTAGATTTCCGTGTTGTCTAACATTAAACCTAGCCGAAGTTTGGAACAGGAATTGATGGGAGATCAAGATTTGGATAGTATTCAATTGCAACAGGTAAATGTTTTGTTTGCTTGATTCGAAATACCTCTTTTTTTGCAATTTTAAAACGTAAGAAACCTTGCGATTTGATCATTCAATTTACGCGCACCACTTTCAGCTTCAACAGTTCAAGAATTTCCTCGAGCAAATGCTGATCATCGATCCGGTGAAGAGAATGACGTGCAATGACGCGATTATTCATCCATTCATCACAAACAAGCTTGGCCCTTAGAATATTTATATCATAGTTGTGAATGTTTTATGATATTTATTTATTTTATCGTTCTCAATATCTCTCATTGCAACTAAATTTTTGCGGAAAACTTGGGTTTGGATATTGTGATGGCACAGGATTTTTCGATATAACTTACGTTTCCTATTTTCATTGGATGTCATTTTATTTTTCGTAGCTCGATCTCAGATATAAAAGTGTATGTTTGGAAATAAAGTAATTAAACCCTTCGATTATAAAAATGCTCTATCCGAAAGAAAAATGGTGACAGAGAAAATTTGATTTTTGTTTTTGTTTTTTTTGTTTTTTTTTCTGTAAGCTTTTTTTTTTTGTTTTTTTGTTTTTAACAAATTTTATACTTTTGAAACTTTTTGAGAAACAATTTAAATCCCCCATCGGCTTACAAGGCTTATCATTATTATCTGATATTACTCAAAATTTTGATTTCCTAATGATTTGATTTCGATTTTAGATGCCTCTTCCCTTTACGCTAATCGCACACGCGTCTGCTTTTTCGGTTGCTTTCTGCTGGCTCGATGCGGAAAGAAAAAGAGAACCGATTCCCGAAGCTCCTCCATCACCTCCAGAACCGAGCAACAAATCGACGATCACCGATCACAAAACGCAACGCCGATGCCGCCCGAAACCCGAGGGAATACTTGAGAAAAAGTATTTAGGCATCGATTTGACGAATATTGCGAAATCTGTATCACACTATAATATGCGACAGATTTATGTTTCTTTTAAACAACCAGTTTAGCTGATTCACTCCCTGCTGGAACTGGTCCAAAAGCAACCGCTGAAAGAGGAATGGCCGGTTTCTTTTACTTTATAAACTCTTTTAAGCATTGGCAACTTTAGGCATCCACGATCCAAACTATCAAACGTTTAACGTGGTCGGCGGAGACGCTTTCGGCAACGACAAGAAAGCCGCCGAGGGACCGAAAGCCCCTGCGCAAAGGTGGAGTTGCTGGTGAGCGGTTTTAATATTTTATTTTGTTTACAAGATCAGCCTCATTTACGCACTCACGATCCGAATCCCCAGATGTTGAAGGTGGTTGGCGGGGATGCATTTGGAGCTGACAAGAAAGCCGCCGCTGAGCCGAAAGCACCGACTATAGGAGGAGTTGCTGGTCTGGTTTAAATTGCTTTGGGAAGTCGATTATAATTTGTTCTCTCGCTCGAATGCCATTCAACTTTAGGCACTCACGATCCCAACGAAACACTCAACGTGATCGGCGGAGATGTCTTTGGAGCAAAGACAAGACGTGAATCGAGCAAAGAAGATAAAGCAAGAAGATCAAATAAATCAGATATTTCATTTTGAACTTTGAACTGGCCACGAGAAAATAAAAAAAATCAGTCCGAAAACTCGCAGTCCGTTACTGCATTGTAGTTAACTTCAACCGTAAATTTTTCCCAGCCATCAGTCCTTTTACATTAACGCTTATAACCTAAAAACTTTATTAGGTCAAGTATAAAGCATAAAGCATAAAAATCTGTCCAATCCTAAATACAAATATTGTATTTGTACAATTTTACTAAATACAATCCTAAATACACATTCATCACGGCACACCAATCAAAAATGAAAATCTAAATTGAAAAACGAGAAAAATCGTACATCTCGATGTACTCATAAAATAAAATCAATAATACCAATAAGTTGCTTAAGCCATTTTACTCAAAGTCGACTATCTTCTGATACTAAAAACAATCAAGAAAGCTACCTGTGTACACGTTGAAGAAACAACAAATTAGTGAAGAAAGACGTCAATGAAAAAAGACGATCCCAAAATAACACTATTGCACTAAAAGTTTAGTTCTGAAAATTTTCTAGAGCAGCAAACTCTCCAGCAATTGAAGCGGACGAGTGTCGGCTGAAAGGCCCGTTTGCGAGCGTTCAAAACCGTCAATCTAAATGGTATTGATTAAAAAATAGGATGCGAATTGAACAGTAAATATAAATCACAAAAAAACCTACCCTTCCTGCACATTTGGATACTCGTAGGGATCACCCTCTTGAGCTTTCACCGACTGTTCTGGGTAGACTGTTCTTGAGTTCTGGGTAGACTGTTCTTTCACCGACTGTTCGGATACTCGTAGGCATCACCCCCTTGAGCTTTCACCGACTGTTCTGGGTAGGCAATGATGGATGGTCGCTCACTCAGGTACATCTAAAGAAACTTCTAAAGAAGAATTAAATCTAAGAATTTTAGAATTAACCTCAGGAATACTGGCCTTTCGTTCATGAGCTCTGTTTCTTCCAAAAAGTGAGCTTCATTTGCGCTAGCCGATATGCTCGTTCGCAACAAAAGTCGAAACGCGAAAACCTAAAAGAAATGTAGCAAAATGGAAAGCTTACATTAATAAATAATCTACAAAAAAGACGAGGGGGGGGGGGAAGAAAGGTTGCAATGATTGCAGCAAAAGATACATTCACGATTTGTGGCAAGCGTTGCACTTGATTTGAAAGAATGCCTAATAGCTTCAAATCGCTTCCTAGCTTCCTAGTAGCTTCCTAATAGCTTCCTAATAGCTTCAAATCGCTTCCTAGCTTCCTAATAGCTTCCTAATAGCTTCCTGATAGCTTCAAATCGCTTCCTAGCTTCCCAATAGCGTCCATTCGCTTCCTAGCTTCCTAATAGCTCCAAATTGCTTCCTAATAGCTTCAAATTGCTTCCTAATAGCTTCCTAATAGCTTCAAATCGAGAAACTAAAGTTCAAACAATTGATTTTGCAAAAGCACATTATTTTGCATTAATTAATCTTCTTTTTTTCAACAAATTTAATTTTTTTGATCAAGTCTTTGGGCATTTTTTAAAAATCATCTTAATCGTTCTTTTATCATCCTAATATCGTACGAAATAAATGATAGATTATCTTTACCGAAAAGTAAAACAAACCGAAACAAATCTCGCTGGCATACTCCGGATGTTCATTCGATACCACAAAAAGGGATGACCACCTAAAAAGCAAAAATGAGTGTCTTTTGTTCAAATCAAAAAACCTTTCAATGTAAATGTTTGTCTAATCACACACAACAAAAAAAAACAGTGTAATTTCAAGAAAAGACTTTTCCAAATTTATCACACAAGCACAAAATACGATCATACAGAATAAAGAGTTGAATCTTTAAAAAATGATTAAGGTAACAAAGAAAAAAATGCTCACTAGATTTCCAAATGAAAGAAGTTTTCTCAAAAAATAAAACACAAGAGCCATTATCACAGGTTATGGATAAAGAACGTTTTTCTCCCATCAACAAAATCCGATTCGCTTAAATCAATTGCTTTATAGCTGGTAAACATAACACAAAGGCACAATTGGTGTTTTTCAATGTTCACACTGAAATCAAAACGAATTGATTTTGCGTGCGTGGTAGTTCGAGCTATAAATGACCCATACTATGCCAAAAAAATGTATCGAAACTATTAGCAAACCACACAAAAAAAAGAGAATAAAGAAATGGAGAGATTTGTCGAATAAAGAGAAAAGCACTAAAAGAAAAAGAAAGCTTGATATTCTAAAAGTCTAGTACGAGTAAACCATACGAAGTGACTCGTGCGAGAATATAAAGAAAAGAAGAGACGGACCATCCGTAACATATCCAAATCACAGTCATTAATGGGAAGGCATCAAGCAGACGGCTGATGAGAAAAGAAAAAGAAGAGACATACGCCCAACGTCGAACTCATGGGAAATACTATACAAGATGTTGGAAAGATCAAAGTGACCGTCTTATTTCTGGAAAGCTTCGAACACGGCCCACATCACGTCGTTGCCTTTTTTGTCCGCCTCTGCCTCAAACTCCAACTCGAGTAAGTTGCGCACACGTCGCATCGCCACCTAAAAAAAGAAATATTCTTGCAATAAGGCTTTCTCTTTTACTGAAGATACTAACTTAATACTTCTAACAGAAAACCTTTACATAAGTTAATAACAAACTTATAAATTGGCTATTTGGCTAATGAGATTTCTATTGTTAGAGGATTCTGTTTTCACAATGAATCTGCGGTTAGTGCACGACTTTCGATATGTCAACAAGAATTTCAAGAAAAGAATTCTATTGTTCTATTCTTTCTATAAAAACCCACTTCATAGTCCTGATCGTTCAATGGCGCAAACGCATTCTCGAGCACATCACTCGCATGAGCCAAAACGATTAATGAAAGCATTCGTTTGTCCATTCGATGAACATCGTTTGTCCACCGTGAAAGGACGGACTCTTGAACTTCCTAAAAAAAATATTTTGATTAAAGAAAATTAAAAAAGTGAAACCTTAATCAATTTCGTTTTCATATTTCCATCGGAGAGTGGATGAGTGGTGATTTCAAACAACAAGAAATTCTAAAAAATTGTGTGTTTACACTTCGGCAAAACTTTTAAAACCTGTTTGTCGGTGGTGAGAACGCCTTTCTCGACGAGATTTTTAGCCAAACGTTCACGAACATTTCGAAGTTGATAGCGTAATTTCAACGGATTCCATGTCTAAATTAGAGAATAAATGATAGAAATGATAAAATGTATTTACCTCTCCTGAAAGGTATTCCACCCAACTTGTTACCGTCTCTTCGGGCTTGGTTTCCTGAATAAGGATCGTTACGTGAATACTTTGAAAACTAAACAAGAACTTCCGCCAACAAATTTTGAGTCTAGTTAGCTTTAAATTTAAATTACATCCTGTCACTTTATTGTAATTACATTTAGGGGTAACTCTTTACAAGTAATCTTTACTTTTGTTATAATCTTTACCTTTATATGACGAAGAGCTTCGTCCAAAATTACATCACCAGTAGGAGAGATATCTTTCATTACAACCTAAAATTTTTCAATATAAATTTGAATGAGAAAACTATTTTCCAACCTTTCTTGACAATAGCCCTTTTTTGCGCATTCCTGAAGCCTCAAGCCCGATTCGTCCACGTAGTGCCAACTCGATAAGAACACAACCACGCAAACCCGACGAAATACAGTCATTCCAAAACGATGTGTAACCCTAAAATAAACATTATTTACATGTTATTTATGTATTTTAAAAAAATTAAAAGATCATATTTCCTGCTTATAACAATTTAGTCTTGACAAATGCGAAGCTTTCTTATAAATTAACTTTGCAAGCGTACCTCGCGATCCTTTAAACCCAATAAGAGAATTTGTTCCATCAAGGTCAAGCGGGTGGATTTCTAAAATAAACATGATTTTCATCAAAAAAAAAATTCATTATTCAACCTTGTCCTCATCTTCGTGCGCGCTGTCGTGGCTGTCTTTTGCGTCATCTTCAGTATCATTCCGAGAGGAGCCCCCATTCTAAAATTGAAATTTTATAAACTTCAAAAAGCAAGCTCAACCTCATCGATGGGCTTTCGTGTCGGACGTTGACGCATTTGAACTCCAGACATCGCAAGACCGGTCACTGAAGTAGTCGAAGAAACAACAGCGATTGGTGCCTATTTGCTTTAAGCAAAAGTCCCCTCGACGCTTATCTAAAAGTAAAAAAGTTAAGGACTTCTGTTTTCCATAAAAAAAACAATCGAAAAAAAGAGCGCATAATTGGAATAAAAGTTTTTTTTTTTCCTTCTCACACACAGATGCAGATGTGTAAATCGATCGTGCCACGCTCTTTCGGAAAGGCGCAGCCACGTTTTTGAAAAGAAGAGAACACACAAAATGAGAAAGGATGTGAAAAAAGGCAGGGGAAATCATATAGGATCCAAAAAAAGGGGGGGGGGACGAAGCCCCATGACTTGATGAATAGATTTTTGCGAAAACACGATTAAAAAACGATAATTGGTAGAAAATGATTTCAAATAAGTGTATAGCTGGGAATGAAAATCGATATTTTCCCCACCTAGCCACCTCATCGGGAGAATGATAAGGAAATTTCGGCTGTAGGCGACGTTTAGCCTAAACTTTTCGTAAATGAAGTGAAATAGGCCATAAAATCGTTAACAAATCAATTCGATTAGCCTACCTAGGTGATCTGAAAATTACAGGTTCTTTTTGAACAAGTACTTTTGTATCAAATACAAAAAATGAGGCATTTGCAACTTGTCGATCTTTTCCAGTATCTCAAGCCGTTTTCAAGTATCCAATTTTGGTAGATATACTCAATAAAGTTTAGCTTGTATAAAATTGTTGCAAAGTTTAGTATAAAATGCTTAAAAGAGAGGATTTCTGAATGTGAACTGCATCAGAAATTTTGGCGCTACTTTAGAAGTTTAGCTCAATCGAGATTTCATTCAACAAAAATCGATAAATAGAAGAAAAATGGGAATAAGAATGTGTGGGCAGCAATGAGAGAGAAAGTCATCCTGAAATCCAAAAACGGCTCGATGAAATGCTAGATAAGAATCGGGTGTAGACCGAGGAAAACACGCGCGCAAACCCTCGCGTTTATGGAAGCTCTAGTGGGCATAGCTCTACATTGTTGAATGAAAGCTTAAGAATGCAGAAAAGGCTTGTTGATGAAGAATTGAATCTATTGCAAATCACTAAAGTAGTTGATGGCGTTAATCTAGAATCACAATCAATCCTAGAAATCTAGAAAACTTTAGATTTCCACTTTTCACTTCGAAGCTTGACCAAAAAGCTTACCATGTACGCCAGCTGAGTCAATTCTCAATCTAACAAAATTTGAATGAATCAATCATACAAAATGAGGTCTCAAAACGTCTGCTTACTAAGCGACAAACACTTATCCGACTTTAAGCTTAAATTCTAGATGAAAAACAATTTGAAACCAACTTGAACTACCTGAATCCATAATTAAACAAAGTCGAGATTCGACAAGGAAAGTAAATTTCTCCGTGAACGCAACGCGTCGCGGCGCTTCTCTTTTGCACGTGGATTCGCGGAATACAGGGCCAGCCTAGTTACCCCCGAAAAGCGAGCTTCACACTACAATTTATTGTGGTGTAATGGTCGTATTTTTGCCGAAAATGTACCTTGTATTTGCTCAATTATCTTCGAAATAAACCCAATTTTAACTATCGTTACCTGATTAAAAATTGCTGAAAATTTTCAAAGTCTTGACAATCAGAAATTTCGTTACTTAATTCGATTTTTTTTTTCTTAAAACAGTTATTTTGCCTTGAAAAAAACATTTTTTTACCTATTTTAGCAGGATGCGACGAGCTCGAATAGCAGCACGACCAAATCTGATAAAGCAATCCAAACAAAATCAACAAAAATTGCCAGAAGAATCGAAAGAGGATATAGTCATCCGTGAGCTGCAAAGCCTAAATTATTTAATCAATAAAAATTTCAGCAATAATCAGTGAAGAGCTGCCCATTGAACGCCCAACAACTTTATTCGAAGGGACAAGCATCGAAAATGGTTTAGAAATTCAGATTGCCTATTAGAGAACGAATTTAGAATCAAGTCTCACCTCGATGAATGTAAATGTCTCGGCAATCTTTGAAGCGGCAACTATGGGCTATCACTCATCACGAAAAGTCGCTTTTCATCCAAATGAGAAAAGTGATGGCGAAAGATTATTCAGGTGGTGCAATCAATTCAATGCAGAACTAGAAATTTTAGCCCAACGTTGTTTTCCCCTCGCCGGAGTCGTCTAAGCTCTCTATCTTCTCTGTGTGAGCTGACGGGACCAGTGAAAAAGAAGTATCAAATCCAAATTATCCTTTAAAAGCCCTATTCAGATTCCGAAAATTTACCGGCGAAGAAGAGCTTGACACAAAAACGATGAGAATGTCCGATTTGGTGGCATGGAATCCGAAGCACGAACAAAAGCTAGAAAGAAAAGTCACCGAAGAAGCGCTGAAACGAGAAATTGTGCCGAAATCTGAGAAAGCTCAGCCAATGGCTCCTCAAGTGAAGCAAGATTAGATTTCTAAAGCTTTTAATATTCTAGGTGATAATTGGACCCGACGGTAAACTCGTCCTCGATGAGAAAAGTTTACTGATTCGAGAGACTGAATCATCGGAAATGTGGGGTAGCGTTGATGAGGTAAATCTGAAAAACTCCTAGGAAAGACTTATAAGTCATTGCTGCCCAATCAAACACTTCTTAAAGCACCCCAGCAAGGAGCATTTCAGGAAAGACTAACTCGACACACAACTTCGATGTCTTTTCGCTCGAGAAATTGGAGAAAGGGAACCGCTTGGACTGAAAAGGAAACCGATCTCTTTTACGGTAAAACAAATCTTTCTTTGCAATTTCTATATGTATTCAATTTTCAGATATCCTTCGCCATACAGGCCCCGATTTCGGGCTGATGCACGAGTTTTTCCCGACAAGGGCGAGAAATGAGCTGAAGAGTAAATACAATCGCGAGGAAAGGTTTCGCTGGGATCGGATCAACAAAGTTAGCGTCAAGCTTTTTTTTTGCATCGAAATGCATTTAGACACTTTCAATGCCCGCTATTCTCAACGATTCTCTTTACGCTCAAGTCGAACAAGCGATGAATGAGATTCGTGCCGAGGAACTCGAAAAGCGAAACCGAAAGCGAAAACCAGCTGAAAGCAATGGAGTGAGACTAAAAATAATGCCAAAAATCAATTTCCAATTTCAGGAACTACGTAAAAGGTACGAGAAGGTCGACTGGGATGAGTTGAATGCTGATTTGGTAGCTGAAGCTGAGAAAATTATCGAAGATTTGGAGAGTGAAAGAGCTCAGAGCAAAATGTGAGTAAAGGTCATGTGATTTACTTTATGTAAAATCATCCAGAGTGCCAGTACCCGTTGAAACAAACAACAAAGCTCGTGAAGTCTCAAACGAAGCAAAACAACTACTGAAAGTAAACTCAAGCCAATGACATCAATAAGATCATTTAGGTTGCTGAAAAATTACTGATACCCATCGATAACAGTCAACCAAAGCAAGGATCGGGAACCGAATCAAGTCCAAATCCTGCTGCTCACTTGGGTGGTTACGGTAACCAAATTGTTGTCAAAATTCATAAACAAAGTTCAGACGCCAATAAATCAGCGTCACCAGCGTCCGCTCAACCCAAAAAGACAAGCAAAATCAACAAAGAGGCTGTAAGAAGGATAGAGGAATCCGTTAAAAGGTGCTATTGCTCACGGCTATCAAGCTCAAACAAAGATTCTAGAAATAAACCAATGAATACACATGTGATGCGAAACTATTCGACACTCAGGTAACCAGATCTACTCACCATAAGACAACAAAATCTTGCAGCAACCAAGAACTGCTCTCAATCTCAGCGTCATCCCTACAAGTGGAGATCGATGTGCAGAGTCAAGTCGATTCTTTGCCAGCTCCACCAGTCGATCCGTCTATCAAGGTAAGAAGCGCATCTTACTGTTACTTAAAAAATTTATAGCGTCCAATAGCTATTCGACCGATGTTGACACCGGAATCGATGTCTCCCTTGTTACCTCCAATCTCTTCTATGCTTGCTCCACTGGGATCGGTAAAAATTTAGTCTTGTCCAATATATTAAATATTCTAGAGCACATCCGAAACCATCAAAGAGTCCAACGAGTATATTGAAGTAAATACTGCAGAGAATCCGGACTCTTTATCTACCGTCACAGCATTTAAGCCAGTGATTGGGTCAACTGATGGTAATAAAGGGATTTTTTTATACTAAAACCAAAAATTCAGGTCCTTCCGCTTTTTCTTCACTCACAGGAATTTTGGCACCAAAATCACCGATTGAAGCAGCAAACGGAATTGTGAAAAACACGGAGGAAATTCTCCCAGGACCATCAAAATCGACACTTTCTCAACAAGTTCGAGTCAGAGCTAGAAGTGAGTGTAAATTACACATTTCTATAAAACAAAACCCCCTTTATCCAATAAAAATGATAGCCATCTCTCGTGCTTCAACTGAAGATAGCCGAAACGACGGTGGTGAAGATTCGATGTCAATGGGGAATTTCGATGGCGTTACCGCTCCTAAAAAGTTTGAAAAAACTTTTAGAGTTCAAATCGAAAACTTTAGATATCAACCTAGCAAGAGAGTCACTTCTTCGCATCGTCTATGGTCTGCAAGGTTTGCTATACCGGCAACAACAGAGATACGACCGACACCAAGCGTTAGCACGAGTCAAGAACCTCCGAAAGAAGGTTTGGATATTGAAACCTACTAAATATAATGTTTTTTAGCAACGCCAACTGCCCCAGCACAACCCACCACATCCAAATCGACCCTTGCCCGGCCGGCTCCGAAGCGGAGAGAAAATCATTCTCAACCACAACCACCTGTTGCTAAGGCTATTCCACAAAAAGAGGAGATAATAGCTAAGGTGAGTATACTTGGAATTGAAAATCATTCCAAATTATTTACCAAGCCTCAAGGAGCAATTTCAGCAAGCGGAACCCATTTCACCGATTCCATCTTCTACTGAGCAACCCGCGACCACCGCTTTGAAGCCGCCGACTCCAATAAAGCTCCCTGATGCCATTCAACAGAATACTGATAAAGCGATGTAAGCAGTTCTACACATTTTTTTAATGTAAAACAGAAAAATTTAGAAATGTGTCGCAAAAGCAGCCGGCTAAAGCCAAAGTTGCAGAAATGGTTGAGAAAGCCGAAAGCCCCATCAAAGCCAAAACAACGGCCAGAGTATTCACAAAGGCTGTGGGCGGTATCAGACTAGGTCAGCCTTCAATTTACAATGTAAACCATTAAAAATCTAAACCTAATCAATGCAATGGTATCGAGGCCAAGCTAGCGATTAGCTAAATAGCTGTAAAAACACGTTTGTTAATTTAGCTGTTCACCCAAATGCATCAAAGACGCTTGAAGGAGCAAAAATTCGGCGTCCAGGGCAGAACAAGTAAATGAAAACGCTAATCACTCAAAAAGCCACGGAAATTTAGGCCCATAGCCGTAACAGTCAAAGCTGAACCTGTCAAAGATGAGAAGAAGCCGGAAGAAAGGCAGTTCAACACTCCCAGCACGTCGATATTGATCGATGAATCGGACGAAGAGGAATCGCTTGAACAACCTGGTAAAAATCGCCACAAATGCTGCTAAAACTACAAACTTTCAGAAGTTCAACTAACTCGACCGACATTGCGACGAAATCCTCCAAAAAGAAAATCTCAGAAATGATAGAGCTCAAATCTTTAGGAAACCGTTACCTAGACATTTCCATGGTGCCTCACTTGTTATCAGCCTCTTTGTTGTTTGTTACATAAAATTTTTCAAGCAGTTGTACATATCTCGATAAAATTTTTTTACTTCAAATAAAAGCAAGCAAAAACTTTCATCATAGTCATTAAATCAATATAAATCATTAACCGTTTATTGTATAGTGTATAAAAGACATACCTATTTTCACAAATAAAACAAAAACCCACGGCAAATGCATGCAATGACTTTTAAATAATTTCTGTGATGTTGATTCCAGTGTATTGTTGAACAAGAGTTTGAAATTGCATATCGAGATCCTTCTGGACTTTTTTGTACTTTGCTTGGACCTAAAAAGAGGATTGAGCTAAATGCAAAAGAAAAATATTCTTACTGTTACATCGTTCATATCGGGGTCTTTGTCTTTATATTGGCTGAGAAGTTGCTTAAATGCAACCGCTGTCAAATTGATCTTTGCCACCATTGGTTTTGCGAGCAAATCTAAAGTTAAAATTTAAAGTTAAACAATGTGAAATCGCAACCTACAATTATTGTTTGCCTCCTCGATGGGTACTTTCTTCAGCGTTTCATCAAGTTCGTTTTGCAGCAAACGGAGAAAAAATGAATCGTTGTCGCCATTCACGAACACCTTCAATAACGCGAATAGCTAAAATAGTTAAGATTGTTTTTCTTATTCAATACAAACTATCGTTTTAGCAAAACTCAATAGCTTGAAAAATCTAAATGCTTATTGTTAGAGCGAAGTAAGACAAAAAACTAACTACCAAGAAGCGCATCAATAAAATTTTGCTAAAATAAAAGTGAAGCAACACTTGCAAAGCTTCATGCAAATTCTTATGCTTAAATATATGCAAATTATTCTTTCCTCGATCAACTATTTTCAGTCAACGAACGGCAAGCTAGCATTCACGATATAACAAATCACTTACACAAAAAGTCAAGCATCAAAACAAAAACGATTCAAGGATTTCTGAAAGACAGCAACACCAACTGTCATCGTTGAAGTACATCCTGCAACTTTCGTAGAAGTTCGTGATGCCCGTTTTTATGATCGCTTCAAGGACCAATTCTTAAAGAAATAACTTTGTCAAAGTTCCCAAACAAAATCTTACCAACGTAAAGTGCTCCTTGCATAATCCAGTTTCCAACGAGGAGTAGGTTGGGCGTGATCGTTATCCACTTTAGTCCTACACTTTATTAAATCTACTTGGATTTAGCAACAACCTGCAAATGCGAGCACCATTCTTTGAAAACTCGAGCCTGGACTGATCGACATGTACTGCTCCAACCAAAACTCCGTGAAGACGAGCGGCATCGCGAGAAACAATGCGTTTACTATCATTGATAGAAGGCAGCTATCCAAAAAGGGATGAATTAGTTATACTCATGCATACGTAGTCAGTAGATTGGTTTTAACAGAACAAAAGTAGTTCACTTGCCTCCATATTTCTTGAAGAGCAATGTTGATGAGCAAATTGCATTCATACCAGCTATGAATGTCTAAAAGAGACAATATTTTGTCTTTAAAAAACTCACTTACCATTCTTCCCAGAAGACTTGAAAAAAATGCATTGCCCAGCTCCTAAAATAACGAGTAAAAGTATGTAACCAGAACAAAAGCGATCACATCGAAGTACTTCAAAAACAAACATGCTGGTCTACGATTGCCGCTTTCCCGTCTTCGTCAACCTCGATTTCCGTGCTGCAGTCTGAAAATTAAAACAATTAACTCATAGTCAGTAAGTCCACGACAAAACTCTTACAACGACTTTTTAAAAGGCTGAAGATCACTTTGACAAATAAAAATGTTCATACCTGAAGCTCATCGTTTTCTGTCTCGGTTTCAGCCTCGTTGTCGATTGCTGGGCATTCTTCTTTGGCCATCTAAAAACACAGATCTTAAAGCAAGACTAATATTTCGCGCGGTACTAATAAAGTTCAGAAGCCACTTTGCGAGACCTTATCTTACGCGAGTTTCTTCTAGCCTGGTTTTGCACTTTCTGGGGTAATCAAATACGCTTAATCGATTAGTGATATTTTTACAGTGTTTTGATCAAGTTTTCACTTTGTATTTCACCCCTCGCCTCATTTTTAAGCTTTGCGGCACTGCAACCGTTAGACTTCAGCTGGCCCAATCAAATATTAGCAAGTACTGTTCAAAACTTTCTAAAAATATCACCAATCGATTCAGCATGTTTGATTGTCCAAGAAAAAGAAAAATAGCATTGGTATAACGGTCGAAAAAATATGATTGAACCAAATCAGGTCAAAGTCTCCCCACGAACTTTATTACTACCCTTTAATAGGATTATTGTTGATTCAAAAGTGTCATAAGCACGCAAAAGAATGTAAGAAATCAAATTTACAGATCGTGAAAAGTTAGGGGTTACAAAACATGTTTATTATCGCGTGTCGTTTGCTAGCAAGGTTTCACTGTAGCATAGCTTTTTGGTATCTAGCAGTAATACAAAGCACTCTATCAAACGAAAAAAGTTTCTATTCAAAGCCTAGATTATTAACTTTTAAAAAGTTAATAATCTAGGCAAGTTAAAAAAGCAGTTAAAGGCAACAAAATAATAAGAAAAGCAACCTTGAAGAGACGGCGGAGAGATCGAAATGATTTTGCGGGGTGCTAGCAGAAGCGCAAAATTATTTGCGCCACGTATCATTTGCGCCAAATTTGCGCTTTTCAACACACTTTCCTACCAACTCTGAATGATCATTTATATTTTTTTTCAGTTTTTCCTCGTCGACTATGCTCGCTATATTGCCGCCTATTTTGCCGATCTAAAAATGGCATAAGATCGATATAGAGAATAAAAAGCCGAATCGGGGACACAAAAATGACTATTTTTGGGGTCAGTATAGGTATTTAAACGTGTTTTCTAATTGAAAACAGAGAGAACTAAAATTTTGGCAGAAAAATGAAAAAAGTGATTTGTTGCAGTGATTTTCATCAGCGTAAATTTGGCGCAAATGAAAGGTGGCGCAAAAGAAACGTGGCGCAAATGAAAGGTGGCGCAAATGAAATTGGCGCAAAAAACGCGGCGCTTTTGTTAGCACCCTTTTATTTATTTGAGTTATTTTCGGGGTAGGCTAGTTTCCGCAACTTTTTTTGCGGCACAGGATCATTTGCGCAATTCGCCATACCTTTCTTCTAAGTCAGCTAATCTTTATAATTTTGGTCTCATTTTGTTGCACTTATTGAGATCTACAAAATGAGACCAAAATCATAAAGATTGGCCCACTTAGAAAAAAGTTATAGGGAGTTGCGCAAAAAAAGTTGCGGAAATTAGCCTACCCTTAATTTTCCAGAAAATAATTTAGATAAGCTACACAATTTTCCTACACACGTTCAAAAAACCGTCAAAAATCGTTACTGTCATTGTCGGATAACCATTTTTGGGTATGAAATTCCATTTTCTGTTAGATTTTTTTATACTTACGTTATGATTAATACTTTTTCTTTTCAGATTATGGCCGACGTTGGAAAAGCAGGCGCTAAAAGACCAACTCGCACTCGCTCGCAACGTGCAGGACTCGTGTTCCCAGTGACGAGAGTTCAAAAGGCGCTCAAGAAGAAAATTGGTAGATCTGTTAGTGGACCGGCTGCACTCTATGGGTATTTTTTTGAGCATTTTGTGATTTGGAGCGTAAGAAAGCGCGGTACTTGTGGAGTAGCCGGGGGGGTCTTTCAATATCCGGGGGGGTAAAATTCTATATACGTTATACACGATCCCTTTTAAAAATATTCAGCCGCTTAAGTGATTTGGTGGCAAATTCCCTTCAAATGTAAAGATATTCAATTTATTGAGGTGATTACTTGATCAAAAACGTAACCTACAAAATTTTTTTATGTCATTATTAGAAATGTTGATAATATACTAGTTGGCGGGTCATTTTTTTTCTTCAAAACCATTTTTTGAGATAGTTTTATGTGTTGATGTGGGTCCGGCAGATGCCCAACCCACATGTGGTTTTGAAGCAACAATTCGCTTCGAGATGGCTTTTAAGCTCGGGGTGTTGTTTACACTTGTTTTACCGATTTGTGATTTTAGAGCAGCTATTATCGAGTATCTGGCAGCTGAAATTCTGGACCTCGCCGCCAGCGTTGCCAAAGACAACAAAACAAAGCGAGTCACGCCACGTCATCTCGTACTTGCCATTCGATCCGATGACGAGCTCGATCAACTCTGTCAGGGCACTATTGCTGGAGGAGGTACGCATTTTAATGACATAACTTTAGGATTTGAGTTCTGCTTTCTAGCACCTTTTTTGAAATTACATTAGAAAAGAAAACGTGTTTGAAACTAGCTTTCTATTTGATCCTGATTCAATCTTTAAAATTTAGGTGTGATTCCACATGTTCACCGCTTCTTGATGGGAAATAAGGCTCCAGCCACCCAAACTCCAGCCATCACCAACAACAACATTGGATTTACTCTCTCTTAATATCTTTGCCATTTGTTTTTGCATAATGTTTCATTTGTTATTGAATTGGTTCACTAAAATCGTTTTCTCGTTAAACTTTTGCATTTTATTAGGCTGGCTCTGTTATTCCGATGTTCATTCAAAAATCTTTAATGTTTTTAAATTGAATCATTCTTGATTGGCTGCTAGTAACAAATAAATTGTATTCGGCTTGAAAAGGATCGGTTCATTGGCTAGATTGCACCAAAATATTAACGAAAAACACGATACAGCCTTTGGTGGAGTGTGAATTTTGGGTATTTGCCTTTTTTTTAGTGTCATGTCAGACGATGGGCTCGATACAAGATCTGAAGTGGGATCGGTCAACAGCACTCGGTAAAATCCTTTTGGATGCCTTAAACTTCTATTCTCCTAGAAGTCGGAGAAGCCAACTTTCGTTTGAAGCGTTGGATACGAAAGTGATGACTATGGCCGATCTGAGATCATGGATCCCAAAAAATGAACCAAAGTTTGAATTTAAAGTTCGTTTCTAGTTGATTTTTTTTTGTATATTAGTTATTTAGAAACCTGAAGACACAACAACTACAACGGAAATTCTAAATCAACCAATCTCGTCCAACAAAGTTTTTGCTCCACAAGTTCGTTATTTTTTGGAAGTTTCATTTTTACTATCAAATTTATAGGTAACCATTGATGCCGACGGCAAACTTACTCTCGATAAATCGAGCCTGTTTGTTCAAAGCGTACAACCGATGCAGAACTTGGAAAAATCTTTTGACTGGAATGTAAGCTATTCGTGATTTCTGAGGTGATATAGCTTTTTTTTTAGAAACTCTCGGACACGCGGTATTCATCTTTTCGCAAAAGGTACAAGCCTGTAAAAGTGTGGAGTGAAAAGGAAACCGAGCTTTTTTATGGTAACTCTAAAAAGCCTATTGGTTTGTAATTTGCAATTTCCAGATATCATATCCAGGACTGGTACGGACTTTACCCTAATGCACGAATTCTTTCCAACACGCTCACCAGCAGAATTGAGGAATAAATTCAAAAGGGAGGAGCGCAACAACAAGCAACATCTTCATGAGGTATTCCTACTTTGGGTATATTAAATTTTTTATTTTAGTTGATGGCTTTACCAATTACTCTTGACAAGTCTTTGTATCGTCACGCGGATAAAAAGCTCAAAGAAATAGACGCAGAGGAGAGAAAGAAAAAAGAAATGAAACTGAAGAAAAAGATCAAGGATGATGTATGATTTAGATTCTTTTGTACTAGTTTACACTGCAAATATTTAGCTTGACAATCAAATTAAGCCAAGGAACATCGTCGCTTTAGAACAAGTATCATATTTTGAAGATATCGAGTAAGTAAAGAGCTAGGGTGGATCAATAACGGATACCAATATCTAGATCTTCGACTTCAATAGAACTGACGGAGAAGCGAGAAGTTTCCACGGCTGCTAAGGACCTCCTACAAGTAATAAAATAGCTACTTTAGTAATTAACTAAAGTAAAATTAGGCAACGTTTTCGATGGTGCCACAAAGTCCACTACTCGAGGAGAAAAAACCCGTTCCAGTCCTACGTGGATATGGTAAATAAGCATTTCTAATCGTTTAAATATTTTTCAGTATTGTTTTTTACCTTGTTGACACCTTTTTACGTTTGACATTTTTGTAAAGATTTATGCTAAATAAATGAGATTTTTACAGAGCGAAACAGACTGAAAAATGGCGTATCGATCAGAAATAAGCGTAACAGTGAATCACATTTTAAACATTTTCACCGAATGGAAAGTCCCGTAAAATAAACATCTTCGTATGAATGGTAGAGTCGATCTTCATAAACCGCCACCACGCAATGCGAGGACAAGATGGAGTACGGATCCGCCAACAATCTAAAAACTAAGGATTATGCGACATTTTAATAGAATCTAAAAAATGGCCTGAGCATGAACGAGAATCAATTATGAGGTAACTACAAACAACACAAAATTGAGATGAAGTACGGAAGTTTTATATTTTGTAATTGTAAGAAAAGCCATACCTTATAATCAGTGGCAGTCTTATCGTCATTCATCTGCTTTCCAGCAAAGATGAGCCGCTGTTGTGGTGGTGGAATGCCTTCTTTTTCTTCCACCTAAATGTCAAAAATGAGAAACGGCGTCTTTCGACTATAACGCTATTAAACGCAAAATGTAAAGGGATATTTAAAAACTTCATTACATATTGTTTTACGACTCTTACCATTTTGATTTGTATTTTATATTTCCGAATGTTTAAGCTGTTTAAGCGAATCACTTTTAAGCTCAACAAATTATAAAAGAACTAAATTACCGAGGAAGTTGAAGGTCAAGTGCAGTGGCACGAAGCGATAAAGTGTCAAAAATGTTAAAAAAACCTGATTTGGGTACTTTGGTGGTTGGAAGGGACCACTTTTATCCTGGCTTAGTTGGATCTAATTTTTTGAGTGGTTGTATTGATAGCTTTTATCTACTCTAGGGTAATCAAATATGCTTAATAGATTGGTGACTATTTTAGTAAGTTTTTGCCAATTCTAGCCTAATCTCATGTACTTTAATCAGCAAACGCTATCTCAAAGCTGCTTACACTTCAAAATCAAATAAAAGCGGCAATATGAAACTTGAAACATGTTGTAAATGCTCTAAAAGTATAACCATATCGGTATTCTCCTAGAATAGGTAGATAAAGGTATCAATACAACCACTCAAAACATTAGATCCAACTAAGCCAGGAAATGGCCCCTCTCAACCACCAAAGTACCAATACTTGTTTCTGTAAAGAATACAATTGACTAATGCACTATTTTTTCAATGTCAAGGGTGATCTTTGAAAGTTAGTACTAGATTTGGTCCAATGCCCAGAAGCTAGATGACCTCAAAATTATTTACATACACACAGACACCTATTTTTATTTTCAAAACTTGAATTTAAAGTGTTACCTTCTCTTTGATTCGCTCAACTCGATCGTTCGGCTCGATGTCGAGTTCGATTTCTTTTCCGGTCAATGTCTTCACCTTGATCAACATCCTCTAAAGAATAAACATTTGAAAAGCAATCAAATATAAAAATGAATGAATGAGCAATGGGATTCTTTGAAATCACGTCTCGGAGGCCGATAAACATCCAGAAAATACAGATTTCGCAAAAACAAATGAATGACGAGGGGAGAACTATCTATTCTATTATCGTGGATGGTTGGGAGGGGCCACTTTTGGCTTGCTTAGTCGAATCTAGTGTTTTGAGCGGTTTGTGTCCATACTCTTCTATTCTGAAGAAAGCGATATATGCTGAAGCGATTGGTGCTAATTTAACCACGCTTTTGATAATCCCATTCGATAATTTGCCCTGTTTCCTAGGCTGCTATACTTTAACCAGGGAACGTTATTTCAAAGCTGATTACACTTGAAAAGCTGCAATACTGACATGAAACAGGTTGGAAATACTCTAAAATCAGCATCAATCGCTTCAGCATATAGAATTCTTTCGGAATAGAGGGAAAGTATCGACACAAACCGCTCAAAACATTAGATTTGACGAAGCCAAGCCAAAAGTGGCCGATTTCAATCATTAAAGTACCACTAAAGTTGAGAAATGAATGTGTCTTGCCGAGGAAAATATTTTCCCGACCTCTGCTCAAGAGCTGGATTACGGTAGGTTATCCATGAAAAAGCAAAACTCGCGGCTATTTCTTAAAAACGTTTTGGGGGATAAAAATGAGTTATGAGTAGAATTATAGGGGGTGGGACAAATGCGATCTTCTTTTTGCGCACCTGGACATTTGCGCACCTTTTTTTTGCTGGAAAAGGCCTTAGGAAAGGTCGTAGAGCTTCAAAAATGTTTCCATATTAGGGAATCGTATGCGTAGATTCCGAATTTTGACAAATCAGACCTCGCTGACACGTCAAATTTGGGTTAAAAGGCAAAAACTACGCAACTTAACGCTTTTCCGCAGTTTTTGCCTTTTAGCCCAAATTTGACGTGTCAGCGAGGTCTGATTTGTCGAAATTCTGAATCTACGCATACGATTCCCCTATATGGAACTATTTTCGAAGCTCTACGGCCTTGCCTAAGGCCTTTTCCAGCAAAAAAAGGTGCGCAAATGTCCGGGTGCGCCAAAAAAAGGTAGCATTTGTCCCACCCCGAAATAACAACAAAATGATGATATTCAGTTAACGCTATTAACTGAATATCTTCATTACATCAATTTTATTCTAAAAATTCCTTTTTAAGCTCTTGTAAATTTTAAATTTCGGTACGTAGGGCACACAAAAAAAAATTCTGTAGAAGAGAATAAATACGGTTGTTGTTTTCAATTCGAAAATCCTCAATTACGCAATGAAATCTTTATAGGATTAGATTAAGATCGAATCTACCTGCGGGTGAAAGAGGGGGGGGCATCGATAAAATCGGCCCAGTCTACGTGTAATGTTGCAGTCTAGTCTTTTGACTAGTCTAATAGATCTTTTAAATATCTTTCTACAGCTCGTGTTTATTGGAATTTTTTGTTGCTATTGGAGTTTATTGTTTTCTCAAATTATTAGAGCTTTTGGATTATTACAGTCATGGACAAAAGTCTTTACCCCTACTGAGGTCACAACGCAAAATTTCCAACAAGTTTTAAAAATTGTTTTCAAAGTATTTTGAGCATTTTACTCTAGTTTTTATATCCCATAACCAAAAGAAACAATGATTTATTTTAGGCAACAAAGAACGACGTTAACAAAAAACCCTCAAAACAGGTGGACAAAGTCTTACCCCTTTTCACTTTTTTTTTCTTGCTGTTGTTTCGTTATTTTTCACATAACAATGCTTTATTATTTTTAATTCTAGTGATGCCTGGGCCTATCTGACCACTCCCGACAAAGAAAAGATTGTGGAAGCAAGGAACGAGACGACAAAGTAAAGGATGTTGCGAGCGTATTCAAATGCAGCCCCGAAACGGTGAAAAAGCTTTGCAAGAAAGAAAAACGACTGGAATTCTTCACCGAGCATTCAAAACAGGTCGTTCACCCGTCACAACACCAAGAGAAGACAAGGTTCTAATTTTGGCCCACAAAAGGATCCAAATCTTAATGCTTCCGATGGAGTCAGATTAATCAGCATCAATTTAACAAGGACATCAATCGAAAGACAGTAAGCAGCGTTTGATTCATGCAGATTGATGACTGAAGACCTGCCAAGAAGCCCCTGATGGTCGCCAAACACCGGAAGATTCGACTCGACTTTGCCGAGAGTATCAAAGTTGGACAGCAACGACTGGGCCAATGTCATCTTCACCGATAAATCGAAGTCACTTTTTCAATCCCGACGGCAATCATTTGATCCGGAGACCTGTCGGACAACGATATAGCACCAAATACCTTCGTGCGACAGTCAAATTTGGTGGCGGATCAATCATGTTGTGGGGTAAGAAACTTTTATCTTTATGCCTATTGACTTTTTTTTCAGGAGCGATGACTAGAAGTTCACCAGGTCCGCTCGTTCTTCTCAATTCAACTTTGGACGCTCAACGATACAAGGTGATTTTGGAGAAAGATCTTCTTCCATTTGCGCCACAAAAATTGGACAAGGATGGTTGCTGTACCAGGACACGCTCCATGTCACAAGTCGCAACTGCTAATGGGACGAGTTGTTCGCCTTGCCAACGGTGGTAGAGCTCGTCTACCCGGATGGCCCGATCGAATGGGTTCGCTCGTATCTGCTCCTCCCTACAGTCCGGATTTGAACGTTATCGAACATTTGTGGGCGTTTTTGAAGCAGAAATTGAAGGGAAAACGCTTCAATACCAAGATTGAGCTATGGTACTTCATTCGACACGTCTGGACAAAGATCGGTCCTCAAATTTTACAGGATTTGGTCGACTCGATGCCGAAAAGGATTCAAGCAATAATTTCATCAAAGGAGGCCCTACCAAATATTAAAATACTCGGTTTTTCTCCTTTTTGTTCGAGGGGTAAAGACTTTTGTCCACCTGTTTTGAGGGTTTTTTTGTTAACGTCGTTCTTTGTTGCCTAAAATAAATCATTGTTTCTTTTGGTTATGGGATATAAAAACTAGAGTAAAAATGCTACAAAATACTTTGAAAACAATTTTTAAAACTTGTTAAAAAGTTGAAAAATTTTGCGTTTTAAAAGCTGACCTCAGTAGGGGTAAAGACTTTTGTCCATGACTGTATTAGAGCAAAATTCCTAGATGAGATATTTTGTGCTCAACTTTGATCCGATCCTGATCGAAGTTGAGCACATAGGGCGTGTGCTCAACTTTGATCATTTAGCGTTCAATGCGCTAAAAGATCAGGCTTATAAGCTGTCTGAAGTCTTTATAAGTCTTAAAATCTTTAGCTGGAGATAGACAGACAGACAGAAAAGACAGAAAGACAGGCAGAAAGACAGACAGACAGACAGAAAGACAGACAGACAGATACCGTAACCCCTCTCCCTCCCTCCCTCGCCTTTTCCGCCATTTCATTTCCTCTTTTTTGCGCGCTAATTCTTTTTCGATAGTTTCTATTGGCATTTCTTTTATATAGATAATAAGATGTAGATTACCAATGGAGAAACCCGCCTAACGGTGAGTTTTTTTCGGATGTTTTGGAGATGGACGGCTTTTGTCGCCGTGGAGCAGTGGATAGCGCGCCTGTCTATCGCTCATACGATTCGGGTTCGACTTTCCCGTGCGACCCGAATTGTGCTTTTAAAAAAAACCAAAAGCACTTTGGACAACTACATGTAATTCCCTATTCAACAGCGCAAAAATCATTGCAAATGGTTCTCTGGGGGCTGAGGAGTAGCGCGTAGAGACAGATGGACGGACAGACAGACAGACGAACAGACGGACGGACGAACAGACAGATATATATCTAGACAGACAGACAGATAGATAGATAGACAGACAGATAGATAGACAGACAGATAGATAGATAGACAGATAGATAGATAGACAGGTTATACTGTATCGAAAGTCTCATTTTCGAGCTTTTCTAATCCCAGATCGGCACTGATCCTTGTCCTCGAAATGTCCCCTCAAATTTCGTCTCCTTAGACCCAGTGATGGTCCGATTGTTCACCTCTCCCCTTCTTTCCTTTTCTTTTCCCTCAAGGGGATCACTCGTTGCGCACCACTTTGTGTTTGTTCTCTGTTAAAGGGACAGTCCTCCTCTCTTTCCTCCGTTCATTTCTTTCCCTGTAAGGCAATCAGTCTCTTCCTTTTTCTTCTTTCGAGAGCCCGATACAGGGGCCCAGCACTGTCTCAAACACTTTTCTTTTCAATCATCACTTTCTTTAAACTTCTATCTTTGGATTTGCGACTATCGACTGATTTTCTTTAAAAGTCTAAGCTTTGCTTTGATTTGATTTGATTTGATTTGATTTGATTTGGTTTTGATTTGATTTGATTTGATTTGCTTTGCTTTGCTTTGCTTTGCTTTGCTTTGCTTGACTGTCTATAGGTTTGTAGCATTCATTTGAACAAGTAGTCCACTGAGTTAGCTGAGTTATCAACAAATATCCTGGCTTTTAGCCTTAATCTAACAATCTAACAATCTAGCAATCTAGCAAGATATCTCGCATATACTTGTTCTCACAAGCAGAATTGTTTCAAGGTCAGGTTCAAGGCCTGGCCCTGACCAGTGCCATAGTCCTAATTGATTTGACTGATTAGAAAAGGGTTGATTTTTATCAATAAAACTAGAGCAGAGAAGTTTTATTGATTTTATCAATAAAACTAGGAGTTAGACTTGCTGCTAACATAATTATTCCAAAAAGTTCCCGAAGTCAAGGTTTGGTCTAACTGATGATAGACAGATAAAACAGACAGGTTCTGATATCAGCTTTGAACCATTACTACTCACTAGCCCAGACTAGGAGTGACTAGTTCACTCCTTCTACAGCAGTAGTTGATAAGTCACAATTCCTAAGGCAAATTGAGTTAAATCCTATTCTTTCTATAGCTTCTTTCTTTCTATTTCCATAGCCAAGAAGCTTGTCTGCACAACAAGCTGTTAATCAACAGCAGAAGCTTGTTAATC